GGGTTTAGGGCTTAGAGTTAAGGGTTAAGGGTTTAGGGTTTAGGGCTTAGGGTTTAGGGAGATGGTGGTAACAATAACGATAGACCGGCACCATCAAACCCGGAACCCCAATCCGTGTAAGCAGTGCTGATGTATTACCACTGCCCCAGGAAATTGACACACTTTCCAGCAATCTCAAGGCGATAGATAGGAGATTACTTATCACGGCTTGCAGGGATCAGGAGTAGTATATGCTATATATATATATATGATATATATATATATGTGTGTGTGTATGTATATGTGCCCAGTCTCTCCACACCTCTATCCAGGTGGTCCTTGGGCAATGTCTCCGTTCGGTGTGTGCATCGCGTAGTGGCATAGTGAGCAAGGTAACTCTTCATTGGCCACGATGCCTTGGAAATTGAGTTTCCGAAGCTCTAAAGCCTGAACCCTGGGCTTCCCATCTTAGCGCCTTAGGGAAGCGTCGCCAACGCCATGGGCCGATTGCATGCGTCCGAAGGCACCGTGCATGAAGCAGAACTTTAGCGCCCCGCAGCCTGAAGAGGCTGGTCGGGACAGGTCCAAGCGGACCGTGAGCATTTATTGCCTGGCAGGTTCCAGCTTTGAGCTGGAAATCAACTCGGCAGAAACGGGGCGGGAAATAGCGGAACGCATCGCAGCCGGAGCTGGCCACCCTGCACGTTCACTTGTGTTGACATCCGGTGGTGATGTTATCGATCAATGCCATCCGCTGCTGCATCAAGTCCACCACGACAAGATCGAGTACGTGGTGCGGAAACTTGGCGCGGGTCCTGTCGCGATGCTTTGGGAGAGCCTGCTCCACGAGAAGACTCTGTCTCTGTCTGATGTAGCGGCCCTGAGCGAAACGATGTCACTCACATGGAATTCCAGCCGAGAAATCCATCAAGGCATCCAGCTGCCCAGCAGCCTTCAGAGCTTGAAGTTTGGTCTCCTATTCAACCAGCGTTTGGAGGGCATCCAACTACCCAGCGGACTGCAGAGTTTGACGTTTGGCCGCCGTTTCAACCAGAGCTTGGAGGGCATCCAACTACCCAGCGGCCTGCAGAACTTGTCGTTTGGCTACGCGTTCAACCAGAGCCTGGAGGGCATCCAACTACCCAGCGGCCTGCAGAGCTTGTCGTTCGGCGACGAGTTCAACCAGAGCTTGGAGGGCATCCAACTACCCAGCAGCCTGCAGAGTTTGACTTTCGGCGACGAGTTCAACCAGAGATTGGAGGGCATGCAACTACCCAGCAGCCTGCAGAGTTTGACGTTTGGCCAATGTTTCAACCAGAGTTTGGAGGGCATCCAGCTACCCAGCAGCCTGCAGAGTTTGACGTTTGGCTACGCGTTCAACCAGAGCCTGGAGGGCATCCAATTACCCAGCAGGCTGCAAAACTTGTCATTCGGCGATGAGTTCAACCAGAGCTTGGAGGGCATCCAACTACACAGCAGCCTGCAGAGTTTGACGTTTGGCGACGAGTTCAACCAAAGCTTGGAGGGCATCCGACTACCCAACAGTTTGCAGAGTTTGACGTTAGGCATGAGCTTCGCGTTCAACCAGAGCCTGGAGGGCATCCAACTACCCAGCAGCCTGGAGAGTTTGACGTTCATCCCCCCGTTTAAACAGAGCCTGGCAGGCATCCAACTACCCAGCAGCCTGCAGAACTTGTCGTTCGGCGATAAGTTTAACCAGAGCCTGGAGGGCATCCAACTACCCAGCAGTCTGCAGAGTTTGATGTTTGGCCGCCGTTTCAACCAGAGTTTGGAGGGCATCCAACTACCCGGCAGTCTGCAGAGTTTGACGTTTGGCTACGCGTTCAACCAGAGCCTGGAGGGCATCCAACTACCCAGCGGACTGCAGAGATTGTCGTTCGGCGACGAGTTCAACCAGAGCTTGGAGGGCATCCAACTACCCAGCAGCCTGCAGAACTTGTCGTTCGGCGACGAGTTCAACCAGAGCTTGCAGGGCACGCAACTACCCAACAGCCTGCAGAGTTTGACTTTTGTCTACGCGTTCAACCAGAGCCTGGAGGGCATCCAACTACCCAGCAGCCTGCAGAGTTTGACGTTTGGCCGCCGTTTCAACCAGAGTTTGGAGGGCATCCAACTACCCAGCAGTTTGCGGAGTTTGACGTTTGGCTACGCGTTCAACCAGAGCCTGGAGGGCATCCAATTACCTAGCACGCTGCAAAACTTGTCATTCGGCGATGAGTTCAACCAGAGCTTGGAGGGCATCCAACTACCCAGCAGCCTGCAGAGTTTGACGTTTGGCGACAAGTTCAACCAGAGCTTGGAGGGCACGCAACTACCCAGCAGCCTGCAGAGTTTGACGTTTGGCTATGCGTTCAACCAGATCTTGGAGGGCATCCAACTACCCAGCAGTCTGCGAAGTTTCACCTCACGGAATTTTTCTGTAGCCACGTGGTGAGCAGGAACCGGTCTGGGTCAAACTCTGCAGCTTCTCGTTGGCCAGTCTTGCTTCTCGAAGAACGTCCTACAGCAGCTGTTCGTCGTCGTCAGGTCAGCAAGTATCGACTTCGTCGCTCCTTCATGACTTCGTTGGATTCCAAATCCAGGCTGACTGTTCCAGAAGAGTTTGAACAAATAAGCATATCCACGTCCTTCTGCCGCGCACAAGCCCGCTAAGTGATGATACTTTCAGCGTAAGGGTTCATTTGGGCACACGGCACAAGCCTGTTTGATGGTGCGTGCTTCCATGGAGCGAGCGCCGGACATGCGCAGAGGAGAAAGGCCTACTGCATCTTCAGTACACCTTCAAAGTCACCAGCAACAGAAAAAATCGGAAAAGCGCTGCAACGCAACAGAGCCCTAAGCTCTATGTAACCTTCAGTCCCGACCTGTTTGTTGTTTTTTGTTTTAACATTGTGTGTTGTTTGTTTTTGTGGTTGTGGTTGTGTTTGTTTTCGTGCTTGTGTAGTTAAAAGAACACGACCCCAGAGA